GACATTTTCCCGGACGACTTACCGACGGGACTGCCACCTCAGCGACCGCACGATCACAGAATAGAATTGGAACCGGGGGCACAGCCAACAGTACAGCGACAGTTCCGACTGACCCAGCCCGAACTGGACGAACTGAGGAAGCAGCTCGATTAGCTGCTCGAGAAGGAGTTCATTCGCCCTAGTTCGTCGCCTTTCGCAGCACCGATACTGTTTACACCGAAAAAAGACGGGGGATTTCGCATGTGCATCGATTACAGAGCACTGAACAGGGTTACCATCAAATCCCGTTACCCCATCCCACGAGCCGACGAACTGATCGACCAACTGCGCACAGCCCGGGTTTTCTCGAAAACCGACCTCCGGGGGGGTTACCATCAGATTCGTGTCAATCCGCCCGACTGCCCTAAAACCGCATTCCGAACACGCTACGGATCCTTCGAATACACCGTCATGCCCTTCGGACTGACCAACGCCCCCGCCACTTTCCAAATGACCATGAACGAAGCTTTCCGCCCACTCTTAGATAAGTGCGTCTAAGTATACCTGGACGACATACTGATTTACAGCCCTGACAGAGCACAGCACTTACAGGACATCGAAGCAGTTTTTAAGATACTGAGTGAGAACCGCCTACTGACAAAAGCGTCTAAGTGTGAATTTTTACAGGAACGTCTGGAGTTTTTGGGACACGTTATTTCAGCCGCAGGAGTGGAAATAGACCCGAAGAAAATTGCGACGATTCAGGCTTGGCACGCGCCGACCAACTTGACAGAGTTGCAGAGTTTTCTGGGGTTCGTCAACTACGTGCGCCGGTTCGTCCCCGACATGGCGAAGCTGACTGCCCCGTTGACTGACCTGCTGAGGAAGGGGGTTGAGTACATGTGGGGGGAGAAAGAGCAAGTTGCCTTCTCGGCCCTCAAAAACATTTTGTGCTCACCGCCCGTGCTTCACATCGCCGATCCACACCGTCCGTTCGAGCTCGTCACTGACGCAAGTGACATCGCTGTGGGAGCAGTACTGTTGCAGGATTTCGGGAACGGCCTCCAGCCAATCGCGTACGAGTCCCGCAAACTGCACCCGCCCGAACGCAACTACCCGATACACGACCGCGAAATGTTGGCGATCGTGCACGCGTTCAAGGTTTGGCGGTGTTACCTGACTGGCGCCGACGTGACAGTACAGACAGACCACCGATCACTACAGTACTTACGCGCCCAACCAAATCTCAATCCGCGACAAATTCGCTGGCTGGACTACCTCGAGTCCAACTTCCACTACACGGTTACGTACAAGAAAGGCGCATCCAACATCGCCGACGCACTCACCCGCCCTACCGCCCAACTCCACGCCATCCTACTCGCCCAGACCAACCCGCTGTTAACAGGCCTATTCACCCACGGATACCGCACCGACCCATTTTTCACGACTGGAAACTCACAGCAACTGGCAGAAGCTAAAGGAGTTTATTACGTAAAAACAGGCACCAACCGCATCTGGGTACCTGCGTACTCACTACTGAGGGAGTTGCTACTGCAGGAGGCACACGACGGAATTACCTCGGGACACTTTGGGGTAGAAAAAATGCGACAGCAACTGCAGCGGTATTATTACTGGCCGGAGCTGTTGACCGACGTACAGCAGCACGTGGGCTCGTGTCCCACGTGTCAGGTGATGAAGAGCTCGAGGAAGCGGAAGGCGGGTCAATTGCAGCCGATACCACCGCCCGAGCGCGCCTGGCAGCAGGTTACCATGGACTTCGTCACAGGGTTACCTTCGAACCCTGGGGGTAACGACGCGGTGATGGTCGTCGTTGACAGGCTGACGAAGATGGCACACTTCGCTGCGTGCAAAAAGTCGATCTCAGCCGAGGAGACCGCTCGTCTGTTCATCGCAGCCGTTGTTCGCCTGCACGGGATACCAGCAGCGATTATCAGCGACAGGGACACGAAGTTTACCAGCAACTTCTGGAAAAACCTCTGGGAGCAGTTCGGGACCAGGCTACAGTTCAGTTCGTCGTACCACCCCGAGACCGACGGCCAAACGGAGCGGACGAATCAGACGATGGAGCAGTTGATTCGTGCCACGTGCGACGACCCCACGACTTGGGAACAGCAGCTGCCGCTGATCGAGTTCGCGTACAACAACGCCACGTCAGCGACGACGCAGCAGTCCCCCTTCTACCTGAACCACGGGCAAAATCCTACAGTGCCCATGACGCCGAGTCCGGACAATCCGACACCACGTGCACAACAATTCGCCGAAATTCTGCAAGCTGCCCGCACCAGAGCTGCAGAAGCAATTAAAAAAGCAAATGTCATCGCTAAGCGCAACGCCGACCGCTACCGCCGACCCGTCACCTACCAGTCAGGGGATTACGTACTGCTCGACACGCAAAACCTGCGACTGCCCGACGTACCAAAACTGCGACCGCGCTACTGTGGCCCATTCCAAATCAGCCACATGATCACGCCAGTAACCGCGCACCTACTGTTACCGACCGACTGGTACATCAGCCCTTCGTTCCACGTCAGCTTGCTTCGCCCATACATCCCAACCACAAGCCAATTGCCTCGCCACCGCCCGCCATCCATGACTCGCCCTGCATCGGAGCCGATCATCGAGCCCGAAAAAATCCTGAGCCATCGGATTCGACACCCCACGGGAATCAGGAGGATTGAATTCCTCGTTCGCTGGAAGGACCGCACGCCAACTGAGGATAGCTGGGTGCCCCTGGCCAACATTGAAAACCACCCTGCCCTGCAAGCGTACCTGAGGAGCCGGGGATTCCGCGACATACACGCACTCGCGTAGCGGAGGGGGCTTCTTGAGGGGGGGGGGTAGTGTAAGGAATTTTCTCGGCATTCCTTACGGAGCCCGACTACACCGCGTACAGCAACAGCCGTTGTTCGCCCGTTACTGCTAACGGAACTTCGCCGACTTCGCGCGCACTGTTTCACCAAACCTCGCACTGCTGGCCCGGCCGTGTCGGCCTACGCTTCGGGACTAGCCCGAGCCTCGCTGCCAGCATAGCACTGGCTAGCTCGCACGCACCGCGTTACCGTTTGCATGCTTCGCATATAAATGTTCGCTCATGCCTTCGCTCACATCTTTGTACTCGTTTGACACCTTAGTGCAATTCTCGCTACTTCGATTCATTGCACCCGTAACAGTACGTCATGTGTTTTTCTTCAACGTCAGGATTTTCTTTTCCTTCAAAAGAAATCAGCCTCAGCCGAAGTAAAAAAAAGAAATGACGTACCGAATTGCTCAATCTCCCCTCCATGTTGGTTCTGAGCAAGCCGTGTCGTGCACTGCTCATTTCTAAAATTTCTGTTCATCAGCCACTTGATACTGATATCTGTTCAAATTCATTCCCTTGCTCGCACGCCCCTCACTTCCCCGCCCACTATTCCCCCCACCACCCGTCACCCTTCATCACAGGTTGGGAACAGACTACTGTATAAATCGACACAAACATAGTTCTGTAGTCTCCTCTCCCTCATTTGCTCACACATTCCAAGTTGAGAAGTTGAAGTTCTCATCTCATCCCATAATTTTCTGCACGGAACCTCTCTGGGTCTCGCGGTTACTTCCAAAACGGTGGCACAATGTACCGGGCGGTGCGTCACTGTGCTCCCAAACACGACCCCTCCTCGCCCCCTAAGGTTGGACAACGTTATTTATTTACGACGTAACTGAGCCGACGTCTCTCCTGGCAGATTTCCGCTTGAAGCAGATAGTATTTGCGTCTCGGCTTGCGGCGACGCTACTAGTAGTAGTAGTATACCTGTTCGGCTTGCTTAATCTACCGCAGCGGCTGAGCATTGTGACAATGATCTGAGTCACGACCGCGTACTAGTAGCAGTACAAGAGTATAGTAATACTAGCAGCAGTCACCACTAACTACATGATGAGGCTTGGTCACCGTCACGACAACACCCACCGCCTTCAAAATCACCGTCAAGAAGCCACGGCGGCGTTTCTGCCAGCGCACATATCCCGGGCCGCCTTTCCTGTCTGCAGAGCCTTCCCCTGGACTCCTCGTCCGAGGAGGAGGATCATTTAGTAGTAACACTACTACTACTAGTACTACTAGCGCCATCGCCGCCGAGGTTATCGACGCGGCATTCCAAGCCGGATCGCCACCGATCACAGCCGCGGAACGTCACGTTCAAGTTGAAGCGCCGCCGCGGCCTGCTTGGATTCCCGCTGGTGGCAGTCGCGGCGGCGGCCAGCGGCAAGACGCCGGAGGATCAGTGCTCCTGCCGGGGCGGAACCCTCCAAGGGCCCCCCCAAGCCTGAGCACTAGCTTGAGCACTAGCCTGAGCACTTCAGGCAGCAGCAACTTCCCGAGTAGTGCTAACACTACTGCAATTCATACTAACTATTGTAACACCGGCGGCATCAGCCACACGCCGGCGGCGGCGGCGGCATTTGCGGCGGCAGAAGCGGCGGCGCTGCCACTGGGCGGCGGCGGCGGTAACCTGAAGAGGGAGAGAGAAGCGAGCCCCATAGTTTCCAGGTACCAGTTCTTTACGGAAACAGCGGAGGGCACAGCGCCGCAGCCGGCTGCCAGCAGTGCTGGTGTAGGGTTACTGCCGCCAGAAGCAGTAGAGGGGGCGAGGGAGCGAGGAGAGCGAGGAGAGGGAGGAGAGCGGCACATCAAGACGGACTGGTCCGGACAAGCTGCTGCTGCTGCTGCTGCTGCTGCTGCTGCGCCTGAGGCTCAGTCATTTTTTCAGAGGGGGGAGAGAGAACGAGAGCAGAGAGGGCCGCAGGGAAGAGAGAGCGCCTGTGTGGTGACCTGGGGAAACTCGCACGTTCCAGAGGAAGCAGCACGGTGCAAGACGACTCACATAATCGCTACTACCACTCCTAGCAGCACTGCTACAAGCACGACTACTACGTCTGTTGCTGCGACCGCTCCTGCTACTACTGCTACTGGGACTGCTGCTGACGTGGACTTGACTACCAGAAACACCACGCTGGGTAGGAGTCCCATGGGGGCTTCTTCCTACTCCCCTGTTGAAGGCCACCGGTCGGGACCCACTCGGGGAGCTTTGGAATCACCTGGGCTGCAGGGGGTACGGGTGGGAGGAGGAGGAGGAGGAGGAGGAATTGGGGAGGGCAGCGGCGGCGGAAGTTGGAACCATGCAAGCCACCATCCTGCTGCTGCTCTGTCCTTGTCTCTGCCCGTGACTCAACATGACTCGTCTACTGCTGCTGCTGCTGCTGGTACGACTGCTATCCGTTGTGCTGGACAGGAGGCGATTCACCAGGGCCGTGCGCGGATCCGCGGATGGATTACGCCCATGATCCCTGCCGCTGCTGTTCCTCCTCCTCCTCCCCCTCCCCCTCGTCACCCTGCTGCCGCTGCCGCTGCTGCTGCTGCTGCCGGTGCTGCCTTCTGTAGTAACGGGTCGGGCAGTGAAAGCGGCAGAAGTGGGGATTGGAGGAGTGGGGTGTGTGCAGCGCGTGGGGGGGCAGAGGCGGCGGGTGCGGCGGCGGGGGCGGGGTGTTTTCCAGGCGGTGGGGATGAGGAGGGGCATGGGGGGGGCTTTGGTGGAGGGGGCGCAGGCGCGGGGGCGGGTGCATGTGGAGGGCGGAGAGGCGGAGGGGGAGGAAGAGGAGGACGGGGTGGGGGTGGAGGGAGAGGGAGAGGGTATAAACGGGGGCTGGGGTGCGACTGGACTACTATGGATGAGAGGGAGGAGACTGCTCCTGCTGGTACTGCTGCGTATGCTGCTGTTGCTACTGGTGCGGTGAGAGGGAACGGGGTACCAGCACGGGCGAATGTATCAACTATGAACCAGGTTCAGGCGCCAGGGGGGGCAACATTTCCTGCTGCGTCGGCGATGGAGACAGGGCAGGAGAAAAAAGCCGGGGTGGAAAATCAAGAGGAGCTGGATGTTCAAATCTCCCTGGGATCTCCACCGACCATGTCAAGAGCCCCGTCTCGTTCCTCTCACTCTTCTCACCTGTTTCACCTGCCTCGAACAGGCTCGGAGAACCGCGTGGGATCAGTGCAGCTTCACATCCGCCAGGAGGAACCGCAGCCGCAGCAACAGCAGCAGCAGCAGCAGCAGCAGCAATGGCAGCAGCAGCAGCAGCAGCAGCAGCAATGGCAGCAGCAATGGCAGCAGCAGCACCACCACAACCCGAACGACCAGGAACCTTACCATTATCCCATGACACGAAGCTCTTCACCGCTTGTCCTTCCCTCTCTTCCTGTGCTCCCCTCTGGCCCTATGAGTGCCACTGTAAGTCATGCGAAGCAGTCTGGAGTGAATTCTTTCATCGGTCTGAGATTGGTGTCTGCTGCTCCGGTTGCTGTTATGCCTGGTGCTTGCACCGCCACCACTACCGCCACCACTACTGAAGCGGCAGCATCAGCAATAGCAACGGCACCACCAGCAGCATGGGCTGGTGCTGGATCCAGTCGTCTTCCCTCCCTTGCTCTCCTTGCAAGCAGCAGAAGCAAAGTCACTTCAATCAGACCAGTAGCTCCGTCTGCTGCTAATCACTTCACAACCACTGCGCCTCTAACCAACACATCAGCCACCGCACCTGCCGTGCCTGCTACAGCCGCTACTGCTTCTCCTGCTACAGCTGCCACTCGTGGTGCTGCCTTTGCTGATGCCGCACCTGCTGCACACACGCGCGAGCGCATGATGGAAGGGGAGGGTGCGGCTGTATCGTCTCCTGGTATCCACTCGTATCCTCCGTTCGAGCCCACTGCGGCTGCTGCGGTGCGTACTGGTGTTGGTGTGGCAGGGAACTGTGCAGCACCCGGCTTTTGGACTGAATCTCCTGTGGCAGCTTCTGCTGCTGCTGCTGCTGCTGGTGGTGGGAGTGGTGGCGGCTCTAATGAAAGAAATGGCGCTGGCGCTGGCGGTGATGGTGTTAATGGTGGTGGCAATGGTGGTGGTGGTGTTGGTGGTGGTGGTGGTGGTGTTGGTGGCGGTGGTGTTTCTGCTGCTGCTGGAGGCATGCGATTGTATCAGTACCGTATGCAGCAGCAGCAGCAGCAGCAGCAGGAACAGCAGGAGCGGCAATGGCCAGTGTTGAACCCGCATGCGAGGGAGCGCTTAGCACCACCCCAGCAGCGTGCAGCTGACACCCTCAGCGATCGTCCAGTGACCTCCAACCCTGCCGCTACAGCATCTGCTGCTGTTGTTGCTACCCGTGGTGCTGTTGCCTGTGGTGCTCGTTCAGCTAGCGGTGCTGCCTGTGCTCCTGCTGGTGCTGCTGCTGGTGTTGTGCAAAGGGCACCAGTGGTGCAGGCAGCAGCAGGGGGAGGCGGAGCAGCAGAGGGCAGTCAAGGCACGTCTAGCAGCAGCCCAGGCACGTCACGGTCACTGGTAAGTGAAGGCTGTAAGCCTGTATCCCCTTCTTCTCCCTTCAACCTCCTTCTGAGACGCCTCATGAGTCGTGTAGCAGTAGCAGGAGCCTAGCCCAGCCCAGCCAAGTCACGATAATGTAACTTTTGAGAATTCTCATCAGTATCACGATCACGATCACTGGTAACTGAAGCCTGAATCTCCTTCCTCTTTCCTCACCCTCCGCCACCTCTCCTCGTTCCGTTCCCGCACATCCCTCTGGCCCTTGATTTCCTGCCTGACACTTGGAACGATTCTAGCATGGATGTTGCCCGGCCTATCGTAAGCTCACAAGATCGCTGCACTGCACACAAGCTCACTGAGTCCATGATGCTGCACTGCAGGGTGTTTTTGAGAATTTCTCAAAAGCACCCTATCGCATGCCCACTGATCTCCCAGTCAGTCGGATGCTAATCTTCTCCCTTGCTCTCAACTCCCTGTGGTGATTCTGACCGCCAGGCACGCAAGGGGAGTGAAGAAGGTGCCTCAAGGGTAGATGCTAGCAGGCAGCAGCAACAGCAACAGCAATTGCAGCAGCGGCAGGGAGAGGAACAGGGCGGTACAGAGCGGAACAGCCACGAGGGGTTTCAGGGGGAGGAGGAGGACGAGGGGGAGGCGAATGAGCAAGAGGAGGAGGCGGGTAAGGAGCAGAGGGAGAGGGAGCGTAGGAGAGAGTTGTTGCTGCAGTCGTTGCGGAATGGAACACAGCAGTCCACTCGACCTCGGAGCGTGGCGGAGAGGAAGCGACGCAGCAAGATCAGGTACTGATGGCATGGAGACAGACTGGCACGTGCGCACGCACTCACGCACGTACACACGCACCTGCTCACGCACGCCCACACGCACGCACGCACGCACATGCTCACACGGCGAGTGCACACGCCCCCACATGCGTACACCCTCACACCCTCTCGTTCCACCCCTTCACATGTTCCGTCCCCTTCTCTTTGCTCCCACTTTACCCCAACCAGCGAGCGACTAGACAACCTCAATGGTGGACCCTGCTTTTTTGGATCCCGCGCATGGACACTGCCTAGATGCTGGACGTGGCTGTGACCCACATCTCATCAGCTCTCGTTCCTTGTCCCTCCCTCACACCTCAAAACAGCGAGCGACTAGACAACCTGAAGGAGTCGCTCTCCATTTGAAACCCGCACATGGACACAGCAGCCACTATGCTGTATGCAGCTGTGACCCACATCTCATCATCTCTCATTCCTTGTCGCTCCCACTCCCCTCCCTACAGCGAGCGTTTGGACAATCTGAAGGAGACCCTGCCCATCTGGAACCCGCGCATGGACACGGCGACCATGCTGGACGCGGCGGTGAACTACATCGGGCTGCTCAAGCGCGAGGTGCGGCGCCTGCAGGTGGAGTGCGAGGAGCTGGGCAAGGGGCTGCCCCCGGGGGCCAAACGACCGCGCGTGACGATTGATGACGACATGGAGACCCAGGTGACCTGGGAGGATGGGTAGCGAGACGCTGCTGATGATACTGCTGTGGCTACGACGGCTGTGGCTTCTGCTGCTGCTGAAAAAAGAAGGGGCTGTGTCCGCGGGCGAAGCAACCGCGCATGACGATTGATGACGACATGGAGACCCAGGTGACCTGGGAGGACGGGTAGCGCGATGCTGCGTACTTCTGAGTCGATTAAACAAGCGGCGGCTGCAGGTGGAGTGCGAGGATCTGGGCAAGGGGGTGCCTTCGGGGGCCAAACGACCGCGTGTGACGATTGATGACGACATGGAGGCCCAGGTGACCTGGGAGGATGGGTAGAGCACTGCTGCTGCTGCTGCTACTGCTGCTGCTGCTGCTGCTGCTGCTGCTGCTGCTGCTGCCGCTGCTGCTGCGGCGGCGGCGGCGGCCGCAGCTGTTGCTGAAGCAGGAATGGGCTGCCCCCGGTGGTGATGACGGACGGGGGATTGGGCAGAGAGGATGATGCATGTGTTGTCAGAATATTATGCTCTAGCCTGTAGTGGGGTGCTCTATAGCGAGTACAACCATTCTAGGGTTTGCTATTTGTATCCTCATTCTTGCTAGTGCAACCTCCTCTTTTGCCTAAACTTCTCTTGCCTAGCTAGGACTTACCTAGCTATGGCGCCTTCTTCTACTGCTTATCTTCACATGGTATTAGAGCGATATGCTCCTGGCCTGTGGGCCCCACCTCACTGCTTCCGCTGCTACTGCTACTCCCTGTCCGCCGCGCGCCCCGTGGTGCGCGGCGTCGAAATTAGGGTTTTTCAGCCCGCCGTGCGCCCCGAGGCGCGCGGCGGTTTTCTGCCCGCCGTGCGCCCCGAGGCGCGCGGCGGTTTTCTGCCCGCCGTGCGCCCCGAGGCGCGCGACGGGTTTCTGCCCCGTCACTCGGCGCGTCGCCCCCAGGAGGCGCTACGACGGGCGACGGGGACCCGCGCGTCGCCCCCCGTCGCCCGTCGTGGCCTGCGCGCGGCCCGTACAGCCGGCGCGCGGCCCGTACGGGCTGCGCCAGGCCCGCGCGCGGCCCGTACGGGCTGCGCCAGGCCCGCGCGCGGCCCGTACGGGCTGCGCCAGGCCCGCGCGCGGCCCGTACGGACTGCGCCAGGCCCGCGCGCGGCTCGGGCCGCCTGCGCGCGGTTCGGGAGGCTGTGCCAGGCCCGTGGGCGGCCCTTTCCTCGCTGCCCCTGCCCTCCCCGCTGTCCCCCGTGCTTCTACTGGCGCCCCACCCCTCCTACAGCCCGTTCTCCTGAATTAGGGTTTGGGGGTGAGGGGTATGGGGGTGAAGCTACTGTGTGCCGTTCCCTGCTCCTCCTCCTCCTCCGTCTCCCTGTGCTGCAGCTGCCGCTGAGGGGGGGTGGACTTGTTGGAGCCGTTGGAGTGGTACTAAGGGGGGGTGAAGGGGGAGTGGAGCTAGCGGTGTAGCAGCGGGTGTGTGTCAGGGGGAGTGGGATAGTTTGGGGAGGTTGAAGGGGGTGGCCGCCGTGAAGCCAGCAGCTCCAGTCGCCCGTGAGCCCGTTGCGCCAGTCGCCCGTGAGCCCGTTGCTCCAGTCGCCCGTGAGTCCGTTGCTCGTCTGCCGCTACTTTTAGCCGTGGAGCCAGTTACTCCAGTAGCCCGTGTGCCAGTTGCTCCAGTTGCCAGTGTGCCAGTTGCTCCAGTTGCCCGTGTGCCAGTTGCTCCAGTTGCGCCGTGTGCCAGCAGCTTCAGCTGCCGCCCACTACCTCCTCTCCTCTCATAGTCTCTTTCCTCCTCCTCACTTGCCCGTTGTGACTACCACTAGCTTTGCTCATAATTGTGAACTTTAAACTATTGCTTCTTGAACTTGTGCTCAGAATGTGTGGTGACATTGTGGAAGCTGATGTGCTATGGTGCTGTGCAGCAAGAGAACGAGGACGGGCGAGCAAGGTCGAGCACTGGTTACAGAAGAACGGTTACTAAGAAGCAGCTACAAGGCAGTAAACACAGAGCAGCAGCGGCAATAAGAGCACTTTGGTGACAGAGTTCTTACAGCCTGAACAGGCTGCAGGGAGCATGAAGGGGCAGCAGGGAGGATGAGGCATGAGGCATCATGAATCGAAACTGCCACGTGCGCCTCCTGCTTTGTGGTGTCTGAGAGCGCCACTGTGCATTGGCATGGGAAATAAGGTCTGCTGTCGCCAAAAGCACTAGTGTTGTGGTGGTTCTAGTATTATTGGTACTAGTGCTGATTGGGGTGATGTAGGGGTGGGGGGGGGGGGCGCTGCAATAATGGGGTGGTGGTTATGTGCGCTCAATAGGTTAGTCATGGTGTCTTGTTTGTAATGGGTGTATGTCATAATGGCAACTGTTTATGCAAGCCTCAAGCCTTTCACATCCGCATCAATTTCAACAAAACAAGCTTCTGTAGTAGGTAGTAGACTACACATGTACACTACACATTGTTGAACTACAACAATCCAAAGAGTAGAATTAACTAAGAAGTAGCTTCTGATCGTCATCATCATCATAATAATCACCAGGACCTGAAGAGGCCGGCTAGCACCCACGCAATCATGTCTACTCAAGGACAGTCAACCGCTCCCTCCCTGCACCGCATCCCCTCCCCTCCCCTGCCTCAAGCAGTCCTCGCCTCGCCTTCTCCAGTGTGGTCACTGCCCTCCCCACCCTCCCCCGCGGCCTCAGCTATTCCTGGCAGTTTCGGCCGCCATGTGATGCCCATGCTGCCCCCACAGGAGCGGCGCCGTCTGCTGCTGCGCGGCAGGGAAGGGGCGATGGGGCAGGAGAGACGGTACATCTGCAGCTGCTTGTGTAGAAACGCCATCTCCCTCGCATCACTGTCCGCATCCGAATCATCGTCGTCATCATCACCAGCAGCAGCTCGACCAGAAGCGCTGTCCTCTGCTGCAGCAGCCAAGTGTTTATCCAGCAACCACAACCCACTCACCTCTGACAACCCCGTCCCTCCTCCTCCTCCTCCTCCCTTCACGCGCCACAGAGCAGCAGTACCAGCAGCAGCAGCAGCAGCAGCAGCACCTGCCGCCCCAGCGCCTGCCCTCATCTCACTGCTGTCACCCACACTACTGCTCCTTGCTGCCGTGCTGTCACCATCACCGCTCCCCACGCTGCTCGCGGCGCTGCTGCTGACGCTGCCGCTGCTGCCGTTGTTCCAAGGGGCCACCTTGGCACTCCTCATGGCAGTCCTACCACCCCATCGCCTGCCACTGCTGCTGCTGCCCCCGCCGCTACTGCTGCTGCTGGCTTTCTTGCTTGTGCTATCCGTTCCCCTGGAACCGCCGATCCCACACCTCCTCATCACATGCCACAGAGCCGATCCTCCTCCCCCGTCTACTCTCTTCACACTCTCTTCCCTGCACCTCTCACCCCCACCACCACCACCACCCGGACCACCACCATCACCACCGTCAACGTTATTACCTGTGTCATCGGAATCACCACCACGCACATGACTCTCGTGCTCACTGCTTCTGCCCTCGCAACAGTTGCGAGCACTGGCAGCAGCAGCACCACTGCTGCTGCGCGCCGACTGCTCAGGCGCCCCACCATTCTCCCGCGTGCCTCCCGCCAAGCCACCCGCACCCGCACCCGCACGCGCACGCGCGCGGGCGTTCGGATTTCCGCTCGGCGCCGCCACTCCGGGGGCAGGAGAGGCGGCGCTCGCGGGGAAGATAGGGGCGCGGATAGGCGCAGTCATACTCGCAAGGGTAAACGGCTTCCCCTTTTCCCGCTCGGCGCGGGAGCAAGGGGCAGGAGGGGAAGACAGAAGGGCCCGGATCGGGGAGCGCGCCAGTGGCAGCGCAAGTGTGGTGGCAAGGGGATACGGCGGGTAGGTGAGCTTGCTCTCGTTGTTACTAGCAGCATGGCCCTCGTTATCGTGGTTAGTACCGCTCTCGTTGCTACAATCAACATTGATCTTCCCTGCTGGCTTCTTCCAGAAGCCGCCGCAGCCCCCTCGCAGGCTCTCCTTCTCACCCATTCCACCCTCCCCAGTTCCTCCCTCCCCCGCGTCTTCCTCCCCCTCCTCCTCCCTCGCCTCCTCCCTGTCCTCTCCCTCCTCGACCCTCTCCGCCTCCCCTCCTTCGCCCTTTGAGCCCTCTCTGTCCTCTCTATCCTCTCCCTCCGCTCTCTCGTCCCACCCAAATTCCTCATACCTCTCTTGTTTCGGAACCCCAAGCCAGCCCACGCACATGCACGAGTCAGAAGGCGACAAGAGGGCCTCGTCATTCCCATGGCCGTCCTCCGTGTTCCTGCCGCCGCCTTTTCCGGCGGAGTCACTTCCGCCGCAAGGAGCGGAGGTGCGCGCCGGCGCAGCGGAAGGAACGACGACGCGCGGAATTCGCGGAGGGGAGTTGGCGGACGACTGGAGAGGCGCGAGGGGCCAGACCTGAGAACCGGGGAGGGACGGGGGACGGGGGACGGGGGACGGGGGACGAGGGGGGGATGGGAAGGGGATGGGAAGGGGCGAGAAGTGGGCGAGAAGGGTAGGGGAACTATGGGGGAGCGGGTGCCTCGAGGGGAGGGAATGAAGAGAGGGGCGGCTGCAGGAAGGAGCTGAAAAGGGGAAAGAGGAAAGTCGTGCGGCGGAGGTGATGGAGGGGAAGTGACGCGACTCGCACAGGGAAGCTGTTGCGGGAGGCCGGGGGGGCGGGGAGGCGGGGGGGATGCGGAACAATACGACTTCCTTCCGACATTGATACTGCGCCGAAATCATGGGACAAAATCAATGCTGTGCGGAAACACGACAAACCCATCTCCGCACCTTGTTGCTGGAATATCTCCTCTCGTCGCCCTGCCTCCGCGCCTGCCGCCGCTCGTCACGTCCCCCCTTCGCCGGCTTGCGACCGCCTCGTTTTGCTTCCTTCGACCCCTCGTCGCCGCCACCAATGGCCCCAATCCTCCCCGTGTCGAGTCTCTGCGTAGGTGCAGCAGACTCAGTACTATTAGCAGCACTCGGTCTATACACGTGGTAGGTTCGACCGGGTCGCAGCAGTTCCGCCAGCAGCAACTTCCGCCGCTCCTTCACGAATATTCCGCGCGCCGGGGCGGAGATGGCAAGGGGGAGATTTGCCAACCGCGGATCCTGCTGGGGCGTGCGGCGGGGGTTCTCCGCCGAGGAAGCAAACGGGGCTTCCGCCGCGGACCTCGGCGCTAACGGCGGAGGCGGCGGGGCTGCAGGCGGAGTTTCCGCGGCGTCGAAGGGGCAAGGCGACGCGAGCAGAACAAGCGCCTCTCGCACGGTGAGGGTGCGGGGGAAATGCTGCGCGGAGCCATCGGGGAGTATGAGAGTGACCGTTGGCGGATTGTGCGGCGGAATGCCATTCTGCGACGTAGCGGTTGTATCATGCGGCGAGGGGTGGGACGATAAGCGTGAGAAAGTGGGCATCGCGCCTCGTGAAAGTGGAAGCCCACTGGAGCGACCGGGACGATGACGGCGGAGTTGAACGACCGGGGTGGTGGCGGCGGTGGCAACAGATTTGATTCTTTGGGATTGGTGTCGCTGGGCCAGGAGCCTCGTGAAGAACAAGGACCTTGTACTTGGGAGCGAAGTGAACGAGAAAAGCGCACGTGAGATAGTTGGCTTGTACTAGCTAGTACAAGCTGCTGCTGTCTGGGCTGCTGTCTGGGAAGACGATGGCGACGAAAGGATCACGTTACGGGTTGACGGATGGAAGTTCGATGGAGCGAGATGCGCATTCAATTGCAATCTTACTACCGTATCTCAGGCTGTCTCCCTACCGTACTTCTACCTGCAATGCAGTGCTGCGCGATCACCTCCATTGATTTACGGAACTCGTTCTCGTCTCGTTCAACGAAAGCAGCAAACTATCGTTGGGTACTGGTCCTGCTCGATATGATTGAAGTCCGCTCGCCTTCTCGTAACGTGACTAACGGCGATTGTTGTGGAGGCTGATCGAGACTGGTCTGTCAGTCAAGTCAGGGGGGAACAACTCGACTGACTGCGTCCCACCCACGTTATGGCGGGTCAGATATACGACACCGTTTGCGATTCGTCTTGAGCCCTTGAACAAGGGAAAGGGGAAAGAATAGGGACAGCTCACAGGACCATTTAATTCTTAGTCGCTTGCTATCACACAGCCATCAATCCACTTGCTCGTTCTCCCCCTTCGTAGTCTCTCTCAACTGCAAGCCTTGTTCGCTTGGGGGACATGTCACAGAACACGACGCGACACCACAGATTGGTTCGATAAGTTCAATTTGATCGATTCGACTTTTGGATTTGTGGCAGCCGCGTCGCGCATCCAGTGATTTTGAGTTCACGAGGGCGCCGAACCGCTCGCGCCTTGGTCATACAAAAATGTTTTGACGATCAGACCGTTTGCCAGGCGTGGTTGACAGGTCAGTGTAACGAATGTGCTTGTTTGGAACTGCAGCCTGCTGTCTCAATAATAGCATCTGTGATTTTCTGTACAGTGGTGCTGACAATTCAACTGCAAAAAGCGCTGGACAAATTAGTCATACATTACCAATACCGATGAAAGCTACAACAATACAAGTCCATGCGCCTTCAAGTTTTTTGTCTGTTCCCTTGGCAACTTGCAAACTGGTCCACGATCCGACGACACTAACCCTGCCCTCCTCTCTGTCCATGTGCCATTTTTTATCCTTGTAACCGACACAATGCGCAACCGAGACAAAACTCGTCAGGAGCGCGAGGGTGCCACACCAGGCGCAACGGGCACTTGTCCCCACCAGTACACTGTGGTACAACGTAGTTGGACCGCGAAGAGTCGGGACGAGACTCGTGGCACTCAGCACAGAAATGAGTCGTGCCAAAACAGAAGTACGAGGCAGTGGAGCAGCAGAAGCGGCACTTGAACTGGATGAAGCCCCGGCCATGGTTACCAGTGCATTCACCTGCTTCCCACAACTGATCCTTGCCACCTACCCCAGAAACTCCAACCGCTTTTCCTTTGCCCTTATCCATGCCCCTCTCTTTGCCACGCTGCTTCTCTGCAGCAACAGCAGCAGCTGCTGCAGCAGCCCTTTGCTTTGCCAAAGCTTCAGATGCCAGGCAATCACCACATACCAGTTCATTGCTCTTTGGCTTCACCGCACCTCCTCTCCCCCCTGCCCTTTCCTCCCCTCCGCCCTCCCTCGCTCCTCCTGCCTGAACCATTCCTGGGTCGCCGTGCCCAGCCTGATCATCAGGCTCGGCGGCAGCAGGTCCGGCGCCGCACCTCCTGTCGCCGCCAAAGTACGGAAGCTGGCAGCGGGAGCAGAGGAAGAACAGAAATCGCCGCAACGCCACAGCCAGCACATCACCACCCGCACTGCTGCCACTCCCGCTTCTCTCCCTCCCATTCTCACTCCCTTTCCCACTCCGTAAACCCCTTCCGCCAGCATTGCCATACCCCTCCATATTTCCATGCACATAGCCATCGTGCCTCCCACGCACTCCACGCCTCTCCCTGTCTCTTTCCCCACCATCCCAACCATCAACATCCACTCCATTAGCCGCACCCCCACCCCCAACCAGCCCTTCAGCTCTCATCCTCTCAACAGCCAGCTCCTCCACCTGCTTCTTGAGCACCAGAGAAGCAGCCAGCTCTCCCTGCAGAGCAGGATGGGCCATGGTGGTGGAGGGGCACAGCGGGCACGCGAGGAACCCAAAGGAGATATCCGGGCCGGGGAACGAGCGGCGGATCTTCTCCCGCGCACACGCCACATGCACCACGTGGCCGCATGAAGCCAGGCGGATGGCAGGCGCGGCACAGATGGGCTCCACCCAGCAGATGGGGCAGAAGTCGCTGGCACATGGGAGAGGCGGGCTCGCCTGGGGTGGAGGAGCAGCGGAGGAGCGGAGGAGCGATTTGCCCTTGCCGGCTGCTTGGCTGCTACCAACACCATGACCACCAGCAGCGGCAGCGGCAGCGGCGGTTGCGGAAGCTGATGCTGATGCTGCTGCTGCTGCTGCTGCTGCTGCTGCTGTGTGAAGTTTTTCGAGACACGGATCCTGCAGGCACGGCAGGCACTGAACCTCCCCACGCACGCCCCCACACGGATGGCCACAGGGGCTGGTGCGCGTGCATGCAGCCTTCAGCTTCTCCCTGCACTGCTCCTCACCGCACACACGCGCTGCCAGGGCTGCCACTGCTGCTAAGTCACTCTTCTCCACACACCACCCTGTGTCTGCGCCCACTGCAGCAAGCAGTGCTCTCATCTCCCTCACACTCCACGCCCACCCGATCCTGCCACCGCTGGCACCGTTACTGCTGCTGCAGTTGCTGTTGTTGTGACTGCTGCTGCTGTGGCTGACGTCAGGAGGCGCTATAAGGTTGACTAGTTGCCTTGCTGCACAAAGCTCCTGCTGCCTCTTGCGCTCCAACCCAGAACTCCCTCCACGATCCCCCTCTGCTGCTGCTTCTCCTCTCTGCCCCCCTCCAGACCCTCCTTCCCCCCCGCCTGCACCTCCTTCTCCTCCTCCTCCTCCACCACCACCACTACTACTGCCCCATCCCGCCCCGTCTCCCTCCCTCCCATCTCCCATCCCACCCTCAACTCTCTCCCCACAGTACAAGCACTTGGGAGCAGCAAGCCGGGCAGCGTAAGCAGCACACGACAGCCCCAGATGGTACGGGTGTGCACGGCACGACCCACAGAACACCACCGCGCACTCTCCACACCGGAACCTGTTCCCAGCCTTGTGCACGATCGCTTCTCGCGACAGCACGCGCCCTTCTTCGTCTCGCTCCGCCATTGGCGCCGTCCTGTCGATCTCGGGAACTCCGGAGAGAATTGCGCCCGGCGGCGGCTCCGCGGGCAGCTTCTCCACCAGCACGTCGCATCCCGGGCAGCGGACAAATTCATCTGCCCGGGAAAACGCCGCGAGGGCGGCGGACGTCGCCGCTTCCTCCCACTGCCGGAACTCTTCGGGCAGGAGCGCTTGCACGTGGAGGGCTGGGACTGGCTGTCCGCAGCACGGGCAGGCCATGGAATCTCTGCTATCGGAAGATCTCGCAGGCGATTCTCGCCTCTCAGATAACCCCGTGCCTGCCTTTTCTCCCTTGTCTGCTACGTGTCTCGCCGTGTTCCGCTCACTCACTAGCTGCGCTTTCAGCTCGAGCATCTGCGGGCGGAAGGACGCGCGCGCGCAGGAGAGGCAGAGCAGGCAGGAGCAGCGGGGGAGATCCAGAGAGCGGTCGATGGGAATGAGCACGTGGCAGGCCGCACACTCCACGTCCACGCTCACGTCCTCACTCGCCCACTCGGGAGGCGCTGTGCCCCACTCGCTGCCCCACCCAGCGGCAGCAGCAGCAGTGGCGGTGGCGGTAGTCGTGGCACCACGCGCGCGGTTATTAGCGGCATCAGCAGCGCCGTCGCTGCCGTCGCTATCCGCAGTGAGGTCGATCACCTCACCTGCCCTCCTCGCTCTCCTGCTGCTTCGCATTCCTGCTCCACGGCTGCAACTGCCGCGAGTCCTCCTCTCGCGGAAGTGATCGCGGGAATCGCGGGGATACGGGCACTGCTCCACCTCGATAAAATCGTCCGCCACGTCACCATCGCTGTCCACCTGTCCCTGGCTGTCGGATAGCTCGACATCATCGTGCTGCGCGTGCGAGCCGCCGTGCAGTTCGCCGTGCAGTCCGCCGTGCAATCCGCCGTGACTATGCATCACGTAATGCTCAGTCGACTCCATCCGCCGCCTTCCTTCCACCCGCTCCCTCTCTTCCCGCTCTTCCATCCCTCGCCCTCTAGCCTCCGACCTCCAGCGGTGCGTTTCCGTCTCGCCTTGCTCCTTATACTCCGTTCTCATCTCCGATCGCCACTCTGATCTCCACTCCGATCGCGACGCGGCTCTCCAGCGCCGCGACTCGCCATGGCCAGCGGCCGCATCGCGGGACGGAACGGACTGGCCGTCGTCGCCGCCGCGCGACGCGGGGAGCGAGTTAATCTCCTCTAAGACGAACCAGCTCATGGCGCGCCGGGTGATCAATTCCAAATGCTTGATTCCGGGTGATTCGTCTTGTCACCAAGCCAAACAGACCTCAAGACAAGGGACGATGTAATCGGTTCTGGGCGACGAAAGGGAGGCGTTCAGCGAGCGAAGAGCAGTCGAAAAGGGAGAAAGCGACAAAGACGACGACTGATATCGAATATCGCTGGTCGAAGCTGCGCAAGCTGTGCAGGAGCATCAATCAAGGCCCGTGCAGACCCAAGGATACCTTGCACGCACGAAGATCCCCTGAACTGGTTATGCCCCTATAATCGGTTATGGCCCGAGTGAAGTCGAGTCGCGCGTTCAGCAGCAGGTAAGGCGACGAGACAGGCGAGATTCCTCCATTACCAAATTCTGCGATTCGCCATTTCGCCGTAGATGAACACCTAGGGGGACAACGCTGCTGACAGAAGGTACTCAAGCGGTGGTGAATCATAAGTACCTAAGAGGTGAAGAAGATGAAAGGGTAGGCGAGGGCGGGCGCGAGAGGGACGTGAAAGCTGCGAGCAGAGAAGGGAGAGGGGTGGGGTGCGGTGTGACGGGTTGGAGAAGGGGGGAATTTCCAAGGGCCGTGCGTGGATAGCATGGCATGGCATTGCGTTGGATGCCGTGTTTCGTGGTGCATAACTTGGCATTGACGTGCTAGGCTGTGCGAATTGGTGTTTCGGATATTGCATGAAGAACATTTGGTCTCTAGCCTCCTTTCCCACTTGAATACCTGAGTCTCACTACAATGCTTTATCAGCCATATAAATTGTGTAACTACACGCATGATCATTCTAAGTTTCTTGGAATGCATTCCCTTGTTACAACTGTAGGAACTGCCTCTTGGCCAGATCAGCAAGCACAGTGGCGTAATTCGGCGCATCTGGATGAAACTCTCCAAATGGCGCCGACCGGCCAAACACAACGCACGACACTCGCACGAGGATCGCAGCCGTCAACCCCCATATCGTAAAATGATCTCCCTCCGCCGCCCCCACTCGAGCCCCCGCTTGCTCCTCCTCCGCACCCTCTTGCAACTCTCTCCTCACTGCACTTGAACCTTGCCCTGTGAGCACAGCAGGGGAAGCTGCCATGGAAGGCTGTGGAGGAGTATGAGTGACAAAGGGTTGTGAGGTGGAGGTAGTGGCAGAAGCGAGGGGAGCGTGCGGCGCGGAGGAGAGGTTGGGGAGGGGATGGGGCGGCGGCGGTGGGGCGGTGTACTCAAAAAAGTGCACGCGGTAGGGTAGGCCTAGCCACTCGTGGTCCTCGTGCCGGTGATGCTCAGACTGCACGCAACAAGGGGAACGGGAGAGAGGCACATGAAGAGTGGGAGGGTGGGGGGAAAGAGGAGTCGGGGAAGGGGTGGGCGGAAAGTGAGAATGGCAGAAAAGGGCCAGAGCTTGGCAGTGATAGCTGACAGGTGGCAGATGGAAGTTGGCATATGGCAGATGGAAGATGGAAGATGGGAGATGGAAGATGGAGGATGGGAGATGGGAGATGGGAGATGGAAGATGGAAGATGGGAGATGGGAGATGGGAGATGGAAGATGGAAGCTGGGAGATGGGAGATGGAAGATGGAAGATGGAAGATGGGAGATGGGAGATGGGAGATGGGAGATGGAAGATGGAAGATGGAAGATGGCAGCTGTTGTTCCCCCTCAAGTCCATATCCAGGCTCCCCTCAGTGAGAGCCAAAACTGAAGCCTTGCCCTCTTTCACCCACTGCACATCCATATCCCTCTGCACCCACCTACCCAGGCCCCCTTGGCCTTTCTCATTATTTCTCCATCAATACGTACCGCTCAACCCCTCCCCTGCCCTCCCCTCCCCTCCACCTGCAGAAAAAGCGAGCACTACACACTGAACTTGCAAGCTAGAACAAGCGCCCAACCCTTCCACTTTAACCCAGCCCCACTCCTAACCCAAGTTAACTCACCCTCTCCCCTCTCCCCCCCCCCCGCCAGCGCACCTGCAGGAAGAGTGAGAGCGGCACGCTGAACACGGCCTGCACCTCGTCGGCGTTGGGGCGCGGCACAAAGGTGAAGCCACGTGGCAGCAGCGCCACCACTGGCGTCACTGTCAACAGATGCTGGTGCGAGGGATGGAGGGACAGACGGAGGGAGGGAGGGAGGGAGGAAGGTCAGCCGTGAGCGGCGGGCGGGTGGGGAGGATAGAGGGGTGGGGAGGAAGGAAGTTCTACAATACGGAGTTTTCAAAAGCTGCTTAATTTGAATGTAACAGTTGGACACCGGGACTGGTCCCGACGCCACCTCCCTCCCAAGCACCCATGTTTGAGAACGTCAGACATAATCCCAGTGAGCAGCGGTCCTTGGGAGATGGTTTAGGCAAGTAGGAAAAAGTAGTGTGATCTAGAACCGGACCAAGAGCTCGACACGACACCAGACCTGGCCCCAACCCCCCTTCTTTCACACGCACCCACCCAACCAGCCAACCAACCCACCCAGCCAGGCAACCAGCCACCCAGCCAGGCAACCACCCACCCAGCCAGGCAACCACCCACCCAGCCAGGCAACCACCCACCCAGCCAGGCAACCACCTTGGCGAGGAAGGGCTCGAGGTGCAGAGCCGCTAAAGAGTAAGCCAGATGTGTGACGACGCGCACGTGGGACCCCCTCGAACCACGACCCCCTTCCCCTCACAAGCACGAGCACCCACTTACCCACCCACCCACCCACGCACGCACGCACGCACCTTGGAGAGGAAGGGCTCGAGATGTGTGACGACGCGTGCGTGGGAGCGGTGCAGGCCGATCTCCTCCTCCGCCTCCCTCAGCGCCGTGTCGCTGTCGTCCGCGTCGCCCTCGTCCCGCTTGCCGCCCGGTAGCGCCACCTCGCCTGCTCACGTGCTCCACGTGTGTGGGCACGTGGGGTGGTTGATACGTGCAGGGACCACGTGGGGGGGGATGTGCAAGCAAGCACGTGTGGGGCATGCACGCACGCATGCATGGGGTACATGCAAGCAAACGTCTGAGGGTAGGATACAAGAAGAGTAAAGAGAGAAGAACGTGCAAGGTCCCCTTGTCCTTCACCCAGTACGCGTGCACATTGCACAACTCAACACAGCCCCACAGCGCACCGCACTGCATCGCACCGCACACCACACTACACCACAGCACTGCAAGGCACCGCACAGAACCCACCGGAGTGCGATGACAGCTTGGCAGCCCTCTTAGTAAGCCACACGCGCAGCTCGCCCCCCTCGCCCTCAAACAACGCCACCAGCACCGCCGCCTTCCTCCTCCTCATCGGCCCCATCGCCTCTCCCCCCGCCGCCAGCGCCACCCCCAGCACGGACTGCTTGTTGGGCGACAGAGGGTCCGTCTGAAAGGCCGGCACAGCTACTGACGACATGGGTGTGTCATCTAGTGCGGCTGCTGCACTGCCGGATGCTGCTGCTGCTGCTTCCGCCTCTGCTTCTGCTTGGAGAATGGCTCGGCGCGCTTCTGCTGCCTGCTGCTGCTTCAGGGCGAGGGCTTCAGGGGAGAGGCGGTGGGGGGTGGGCGCGGAGGGAGGGGATGCGGGGGAGGGAGAGGTGGGAGGGGAGGGACCGGCGGGCGGGGCAGGTGGAGTGGGATGCGCAGCTAAGATAGCTGGGCCTGGAGTGGCTAGATTGCCTGCATTGCTGCTGCCGTTGCTTCTGCTGCTGCTGCTGCTGCTGCTGCTGCCGTTGCTGATAGTGATGGTGGTGGGGTCACTGCAGCCGTCGAGTGTAGCAGCAACGACTTTCTTGGGCGGTTCAGAGGGGGAGGACGCAGAGGAAAGAGCACGTGTGTGGATGAGAGAAGAGGAGGAGGAGAGAGGGGATGGGGCAGAGGCAGGAGAGCAGGGAGGGAAGGAGGAAAGGAAGGAGGGAGGGGAGGTGAGAGAAGAAGCGGCGTTGGCAGAGCGAGGAGGAGCGAAGGGTGAAGTGGGTGAGAGCAAGGGCGGGATGTAGCGAACCAGACGGGTCACTGCCTCTTTAATCACTGCACTATCCCCCACCACTCCTTGCAAATGCGCTATTCGTTTATTAGCCTCCCACCCACCGCCATCCCCGCTGCCCCCGCTTCCCCCAAACATCCCATCCGCTTCAGAGGTACGACCAGGTTCGACCATGGCGCTTCTGACGTGGCAGCTGCTGACTGGACGTTCGTTGAGCCACATTTGGGGAGTCGCGCAGCGGGGATGGGGGGAAATTTGGGGGCGAAGGGGGAGCGCGACGGCGGGGAGGAAGGAGGCGGAGGCGGAAGCGGAAGCGGAATCGGACAAGGGGACTGGAGGAATGGAAGTGGGGGTGCTTCTTAGCCGAAGTGAAGCGTTGATTGGGGGAGGCCGGTTCAGGGTTCTGGTTAGCGTGGAAACCGCATGAAGAGTGGAAAAGGAGGAGGAAAACGAGGAAAAGGAAGAATTGGACGCTTGAATTCGACCCAGCGAGCAGGAAGGTCGTCTGGGAACGGGTGGTAAGAGCTGAAGGCGGCGCGGCAACTGAGATTCAAGCACGTGGGCGCCAGAGACTAGCGTTGGTTGGTTGCTCGTGCTGACAGTGAGCCGGCGCGTGTGGACGGTAACGTGGCGAGAGTCGACGGTGACGTGGCGAGAGTCGACGATGACGTGGCGCGTGATGAAGGTGATGTGAGCTCGCAGAGAACACACCCACGACGCGAACATGAGCGACTGAGGGTGGAGCACTGCTCGTCGCAAAAAAAAAACAAACCGAGTCCTCGATAACTCGGCGGCAAGCGCGAATGATCTTTAAAAACGAAGCGGTTTATATGTGCTACTGCTGCTACGCAGCCAGGCATTCCAATGTGAGAGCAACGAGATGGAGATGTGTCTTAGTCGACCTGTCAGTCTATCGTTGCTCCGAATAGTACTCCTCCTGCATCGTGATTCGTGTTGTCCATTCCTATTCCTATCACTGACCATACGACCGCGGGTTTCTTACCGTGGATAATGGTTTCTTCATGGGGCTAGTCATAGCTGTCACATGGATGGATGATGGTTCTTAGTTGCTCGACTGGACTTAGCCACTAAAGCGCGTATGTGTGCATCAGGGTTTTGTTTGTTGAAGCACCATCCGTTTAGGAAACTATTCAGTTTACCGTGAGTGTTTTCTTGGAGGATGTTACGGGTGCAATGAATCGAGGTAGCGAGAATTGCACCAAGGTGTCAAACGAGTACAAAATGTGAGCTAAGGCATGAGCGAACAGTTATACGCGAAACATGCAAACGGTAACGCGGTGCGTGCGAGCTAGCTAGTGCTACGCTGGAAGCAAGGCTCGGGCTAGTCCCGAAGCGTAGGCCGACACGGCCGGTCCAGCAGTGCGAGGTTTGGGAAAACAGTGCGCGCGAAGTCGGCGAAGCCCCGTTAGCAGTAACGGGCGAACAACGGCTGCTGCTGTACGCGGTGTTGCAGGGTGCGCTAAGGAATATCGAGAAAAATCCTTACACTACCCCCCCCTCAAGAAGCCCCCTCCGCTACGCGAGTGCGTGTATATCGCGGAAACCTCGGCTCCTCAGGTACACTTGCAGGGCAGGGTGGTTTTCGATGTTGGCCAGGGGCACCCAGCTATCTTCAGTTGGCGTGCGATCCTTCCAGCGAACGAGGAATTCAATCCTCTTGATTCCCGTGGGGTGTCGAATCCGATGGCTCATGATTTTTTCGAGTTCGATGATCGGCTCCGATGCAGGGCGAGTCATGGATGGTGGGCGGTGACGAGGCAGTTGGCTTGTGGTTGGGATGTATGGGCGAAGCAGGCTGACGTGGAATGAAGGGCTGATGTACCAGTCCGTCGGCAACAGTAGGTGGGCTGTCACTGGGGTAATCATGTGGCTGATTTGGAATGGTCCACAGTAGCGGGGTCGCAATTTTGGTACGACGGACAGTCTTAAGTTCTGTGTGTTGAGTAGTACGTAGTCTCCTGACTGGTACGTGACCGGGCGGCGGTGGCGGTTAGCGTTGCGCTTAGCGATGACATTGGCTTTTTTAATTGCTTCTGCGGCTCTGGTGCGGGCAGCTTGCAAAATTTCGGCGAATTGCTGTGCACGTGGTGTTGGGTTGTCCGGACTCGGCGTCATGGGCACTGTAGGGTTTTGCCCGTAGTTCAGGTAGAAGGGGGACTGCTGCGTCGTCGCTGACGTGGCGTTGTTGTACGCGAACTCGATCAGCGGCAGCTGCTGCTCCCAAGTGGTCGGGTCGTCGCACGTGGCACGAATCAACTGCTCCATCGTCTGATTCGTCCGCTCCGTTTGACCGTCGGTCTCGGGGTGGTACGACGAGCTGAACTGTAGCCTGGTCCGGAACTGCTCATAGAGGTTTTTCCAGAAGTTGCTGGTGAACTTCGTGTCGAGGTCGCTGATTGTCGCGGCTGGTATCCCGTGCAGTCGAACGACGGCTGCGATGAACAGGCGAGCGGTTTCTTCGGCTGAGATCGATTTCTTGCACGCAGCGAAGTGTGCCATCTTCGTCAACCTGTCAACGACGACCATAACTGCGTCGTTACCCCCAGGGTTCGAAGGTAACCCCGTGACGAAATCCATGGTAACCTGCTGCCAGGCGCGCTCAGGCGGTGGAATCGGCTGCAAGTGACCCGCCTTTCGTTTTCGCGAGCTCTTCATCACCTGACACGTAGGGCACGAGCCCACGTGGTGCTGTACGTCGGTCAACAGCTCCGGCCAGTAGTAATACCGCTGTAGTTGCTGTCGCGTTTTTTCTACCCTGAAATGTCCCCAGGTAATCCCGTCGTGTGCCTCCTGCAGTAACAGTTCCCTCAGTAGTGAGTACACGGGTACCCAGATGCGGTTGGTGCCTGTTTTTACGTAATAGACGCCTCTGGCCTCTGCCAGTTGCTGTGAATTTCCGGTTGTGAAAAACGGGTCGGTACTGTATCCGTGGGTGAATAGGCCTGTTAACAGTGGATTGGTTTGGGCGAGTAGGATGGCGTGGAGTTGGGCGGTGGGGCGTGTGAGTGCGTCGGCGATGTTGGATGCGCCTTTTTTGTACGTGACAGTGTAGTGGAAGTTGGACTCCAGATAGTCCAACCAGCAGATCTGTCGTGGGTTGAGATTCGGTTGGGCGCGAAGGTACTGTAGTGATCGATGGTCTGTCCGTACTATCACGTCTGCTCCCGTGAGGTAACATCGCCACACCTTGAACGCGTGCACGATCGCCAACATCTCGCGGTCGTGTATCGGGTAGTTGCGTTCGGGCGGGTGAAGCTTGCGGGACTCGTACGCGATTGGCTGAAGGCCGTTCCCGAAGTCTTGCAACAGTACTGCTCCCATAGCGATGTCGCTAGCGTCGGTGACGAGTTCGAACGGACGGTGCGGATCTGCGATGTGAAGTACGAGCGGCGAGCACAAAATATTTTTGAGGGCCGAGAAGGCAGCTTGCTCTTTCTCCCCCCACGTGTACTCGACCCCCTTCCTCAGCAGGTCGGTCAATGGGGCAGTCAACTCCGCCATGTCGGGGATGAACCGGCGCACGTAGTTGACGAACCCCAAAAAACTCTGCAACTCGGTCAAGTTAGTCGGCGCGTGCCATGCTTGAATCGTCGCGATTTTTCTCGGGTCTATTTCCACTCCTGCGGCTGAAATAACGTGTCCCAAAAACTCCAGTCGGTCGTGTAAAAACTCACACTTAGACGCTTTTGTCAGTAGGCGGTTCTCACTCAGTATCTTAAAAACTGCTTCGATGTCCTGTAAGTGCTGTGCTCTGTCAGGGTTGTAAATCAGTATGTCGTCCAGATAAACGATGACGCACTTATCTAAGAGCGGGCAGAAGGCTTCGTTCATGGTCATTTGAAAAGTGGCGGGGGCGTTGGTCAGTCCGAAGGGCATGACAGTGCATTCGAAAGATCCGTAGCGTGTTCGGAAGGCTGTCTTGGGGAAGTCGGGTGGGTTGACGCGAATCTGGTGGTAGCCTTCCCGAAGGTCAATTTTTGAGAAAACCCGGGCTGTGCGTAGTTGGTCGATCAGTTCGTCGGTTCGCGGGATGGGATAACGAGATTTGATGGTAACCCTGTTCAGTGCTCTGTAATCTATGCACATGCGAAATCCCCCGTCCTTTTTCGGTGTGAACAGTATCGGTGCTGCGAAAGGCGACGAACTAGGGCGAATGAACTCCTTCTCGAGCAGGTAATCCAGCCGCTTCCTCAGTTCGTCCAGTTCGGGTTGGGTCAGCCGGAACTGTCGCTGTACTGTTGGCTGTGCCCCCGGTTCTAGCTCTATCCTGTGGTCGTGCGGTCGCTGAGGTGGCAGTCCTGTCGGTAGGTCGTCCGGGAAAATGTCACTGTACTGTTTCAACAGTGCTGCCAGATCACCCAGTACGTCGGCTAGCAGTTTCTGTAAATCCCCCCCTTTGTCTGCTGCCTCTGTCAAATGTTATATCTGCTATATATGTTTAGACTGTAGTGGGGTAGCCAATATGGGGTACAGCCCACTTTAGGGTTTCATATTTGTACCCAACTCTTTCATAGTTCAATCATTCCTGCTGCTAGATTCTGACATGGTTTCAGAGCACTAGGTCCGTAGGACCGTTTTTTTTTGGGTTGCAAAGCAACCTATTACAATCGATTTGGACAGCTTTTTTTTTCCACATTTTATTTATCTAAAATAAAATGTGAAATAAAAAAAAACAGGATGCACTAGTTGCTAGCTACATGACCAGTAAGTATTGTCTACATTCAATTGTAATGTGATGGTAGTGATTTTTCTGTTCGCACTACGACATATTTTTGTGCGGTATGTTGGATGATATAATGGTAATTACGTGACTGTCGTAAAATGCATATATGTTATAAATTAAACCTTTGTGCTTAAATAAATATAATAATACATGAATGAATATAATGATACATGCTTGAATGAATATAATGATACAAATTTTATAAATGCATTATGCAATAATGATAATGATGCTTCAGTATGCACAATGTTTTATGTTGAATACATGCATACTAGTTCATGATATAAATGCGTGAAAGCTAACGATCCAAGAACTATGCTATCGCATCCCCTGCCTAGCATGGGGGGGAGCTAACAGCATAATCCTTGAACAATCAGCAGTCACATGAAACAACACAATCTGTGAACTCTAAAAAGATGGTCAAATCTAT